GAGCTGAAACTCTTACTTTTCCAGGGGACTCTTAATGAGTTTCAGCACTTTTCTATGTTAACTATTCAGGCTGAGTTCTGTGTGGTTCAGTGACACAGCACAAGAGGGAAAGAATAGATGAAATCAAGCATGGGTTTCTGCTCACAATCCCATCCAGGCAATTTAAAAGTAACCACAGTTTAAATGGAATAAAGTGGCCTTAACCATTATTAAATGCCGCACTGTATGAGCGGCTTCACTGCTCTTTATTTAGAAATTGAGGTTCCTGTCAATTTGCTGAATGTGAAGTTTCTGTGATCGCAGTTTTGATCTGGAAATCCCACTTTACAAATGGGTCTCTTTAAGAGGCTCTTTGCTGCAATATAATGAACCTCTCTTTAGCAAAGCCTGTAAACATCTAAAGAGCGGGAGCGAGGAAGGTTATTTTCTACTGATGCAGGAGGTTGTTTCATTAAATCGTTCGCCAAATCCTTTCCTCCCCGCACCGTCCCCAAAAAAGGGCTCTTTCAGTTCAGGACGCGTTGAGCTGCACAGAGAGCTATTTTCCACTTTATTGTCAAAGATGGGAAATTCTGCTTCACTGGCGTTACATAAAAAGTAACGAATGCGAAAGTTTGATCTTCATAAATATTGGAAGTGAGCGAGTAGTCAGCCCCGGTGGTTGGTTGTTGCAGTAGTGTGGCTGTCCTCGCGAGCATAAGCTTAGAGGATTTTTGAATCCCAGAGCTGCCTGTCGCTTGAAACAGCTCAATTCAGGTTAGATGAATTTCTATTGCTTTGTGGTTTTACAGTAATCTGAAATATTGCACGGAAAGGAATGCATTCCCCCCCCCACCCCATCCTGTCAGGGATTCGGGATGAAAATCGGACATTGTCCTGCTCATCCCACTTGATTCCTCCCTTCCTACCAGTCGATCACTGTCCACCGTTGCTGCTTGTTCGTGGGGAAGTCTGTAGCTCGTAAATGCAACACTCCCTTGGTTATTCGCGGCGTGCGATCTGCAACAAGAAAAATTATACATAACATCCAGCAGTCTTTTTTTTCAAAAATGCCTTTTTTTAGTTTTTCAAATCATAAGGCGTTTCTTACTTTAAAAATGATAATCCTTGCATTGGTATAGTGCCTCATCGGGTCCTCGTGATGTCTCAAAGCGCTTCACGGAATTTACTGTAAAGTGAATTGACTGTATATTTTGTGTGGGCGTATATCAAACTGAATAGAATTAGAAACCGGGTATATTCAATCAATATTTTTCAACGAGCTTTTTTTTTTAGATTTATTAAAGTAAAGTGTTCAAAAACATAACCGCACATGGCTAACGTGTACTTATAAGAATTCAAAATTTGTATTGAACGCCTCTGTTTCTTTTCCAGGTATACAAATGCTCTCAGTCCAGCCAGACGCCAAGCCGAAGGGTTGTGCTGGCTGCAACCGCAAGATTAAAGACCGCTACCTTCTGAAGGCTCTGGACAAATATTGGCATGAAGACTGCCTGAAATGTGCCTGCTGTGACTGCCGCCTAGGCGAGGTGGGCTCAACACTCTACACCAAAGCCAACCTCATCCTTTGTCGCAGAGACTACTTGAGGTACACTTTAATAACTTATTGCTGGAACCGTTGGAAGGAAATCATCTGCAGGCAGGAAAGGATTCCTTTTTTTTAATGTACAACAAATCTGCAAACATTCGTGTGCTTTGTCGCAAAGTTTTGCTTTATGCGTAAAACAGCTGCAATGTGAATTATTTATCGGGATTTATTTTTTACAGAAGCGACATTGAAGCAGTGGGATAGGCTATCACAAAAGGTTTTCTGTACTCTTGCCACGATCTGTATAGTGTAGCAAAAATATAAGAGTTCTGTGCAAATTACTTTGAAGAGTAAGTAACAGGGAAACTATTGATTTGGCTGGTTTTGCTTGACTAATGAAACCGATACATCTGTAATGCTCCCACTGTTGATTTACTGATCTCCCAACCCATTTTTTTTTAAAAAAAACTAACCATTAAAAAGCTTTAGTATTCCTTTTCTTGACTTCACTAAAGCGGTCAATATGAAGTGGAGTCCTTCAGTCCTTGATTGTTCAGAACGTTAGGTAAGGGTATATAGTGTGGCTGTGTGGTCTTAAACCGCTGCCTTTTATTGAAGCTTTGGCTTTGAAGCCTAACCATATGATATCTAAAGATTTTATTCCAGGTCATTGGTTTGCAGTGCAAAATCTATGCAACCTTCTCATAGTTATTCACCAAGTAACCCTGACTCCTTGGAACTTTTTGATTGATTTTTAGAGATGTCGCAAATGCTATTGTAAAGCTCAGTTGGTAAATTTTGCTCTGTGAGCTGTTGTAGTGCCCTCTAGAGGTTATTCAGGTGTTTGAATTCCCAGAAAAAGATACACAGCGTGAAATGCGTTTCACACTCCAGTCACTATTTACTGTTCATTGTATCCTCTTGCCGCTAGAAATGTTGAAGCACAGTGCTAAAACTTTGAGTCGGGGAGTGCTGCATAGTCAGGACGATTTCTTTTGCCTTCAAAATCACCTTTTTAAAAAAAAAACCAATAATAATTTGGTGACTCAATCCACGACAGTTTGTGGGAGACGCAATTGGCTGCCGCGTTCCGCCCGCAAAAATTTACAGTCGATTCACTTTACGGTATATTCTGTGAAGCGCTTTGAGACGTCTCGAAGACGTGGTAAGGCGCTGTATCAAATGCAAGGATTGTTATCCTTTGTGCATTACGTTGTCGTAACATTAAAAGCTGCAGCTTGGAGTCATAATTGCGCAAAACTATATTTAAATTCAGGAAAATATTGGTCTTCAATATAAAGTTTAAACATGATAAAATCTACTGATTTGGGCCATTTACTTTTCTCTTCTGATGCATATGGACATCTCTCCTTCTATTCAAGCTGTTGAGTCCTGCAGTATAGTGGTTAGAACACTCGCCTCACAAGCGACAGGACTCGGGTTCGATTCCCTACCCTTTGCAAGGGTAGGATCCCTTTCACTCTCCTTCCACCTCCCCAAATATCCTAGTGTTGTGGCAAATGTCTTGTCTGTTCGTCTGAATGCATTTTCACTTTCCTACGTAATTTGAGTTGGGAGTGGGGATGGGGGAGGGGGGGGGCAGGAAGAGAGGGTAGTTATTCCTGCAGCTAGTTTTGTAATGGATTGAAAAAAAATGACATTGATCTGTTAGGAAATAATGTATTTTTCACCCACTAGTAGCTTTTTCAGGTAAAAGTGCACTATTGGACCATTAAAACTTCTCAAAGTATTTTTTCGACATAAAAATTGTCTTAGACACTGTAGAACATCATTTGTAAATGTGTGGCTGTACTTTTTTTTTCTTTTGGAAAATTTGTTTCATTACTTAGTTGATTTTAGGAGAAATTTCACCCAGATCTATATTTAGTCAATCTACGTAACATTTTAGTATGTCTAGAATTTGATAAATATTTAATTTTGAAGACGCTTTTTCTGTAAGTTGATTTTGGAAAATCAACTTCAAAGTTGAGACTGAATTCAATTTAATTACAGCCAATTATCCAGTTCAGTTTTGTACTTTTAGCCAAACTTCAATCCACAATTGTGGGACATTGTTTTGTGCATTTTGCCCACAAAATATACAGTCAATTCACTTTACGGTATATTCTGTGAAGCGCTTCGAGACATCTTGAAGACATAAGGCGCTATATCAAATGCAAGGATTATGATTATTACTTTGTAGCATGGATGAAAAAATGGTTTCTGTTACATTAAGAAGTTAGGATCTATACCACTCCAGTGATGGGATTGATAACACCACAAGTCTCCACACACATCTCTCTGCTACACAATCTGTTATTGGGTTTTATGAAAAGCCGACAGACTGTTTTTGTCCTGGCTCCAGCCACCCAACAAAGCAGCAATGTGGAAATGCAGGATATTTGGTCCAAATGTAAATTTGTCCGAATTCAATAAGTTCGCTGGAACTGTTCCAATTCAGGTATCTTTGGGTAAACCAATCTGGTTTAGTTCTCATCCCCAGTAATTACAACTTCACATTGGAATTCAATACCACAGCACTGTACAGCACGCACACAAAACAGCAGAGGGAATCTTGAAGACTTTCGTGAAAGTGGAGTATCTCAGTGAGGATTAAATGGGATTGATAAAGTTAACCCAGAGGAACATTTTCGGATGCACTGAAAGACAGTACAACGTGAGGACGTAGGTTTAGTTTTGCAAAGGGAAATTTTACAACGGACTTCAAGATGGATGCATTTTGTTCAGAAGATATTTAATGATTAGAGCAGGTTTTCAGAAAAGGTGTCTGAATTTTAAAAAAAAAAACACACACACACAGCGTGACGCTTGATTGGGAAGATGGTAGGGTGGGTGCTCTGGAAGGATGAGATCAAATGGGATGAAGGGCTTCCTTAATCCAAACTGATCCTGCGACTGCTTTGGAATTGAGAGAACAATTTGTGAGGAGTTATGACCACAGCATCATCTAATGGCTCCAAGATTCTACCCACTATTTCTCTGCCCCACTTCTCCCCTCCCCCCCACCCCAACCATGCCCACCACCACCCCACTAATATTGGTACAGTCTATGGACTCCAACCTGCAAAGAGACTAACTGCTATGGTGTGAAGCTTCACCACCTCATAAAATGGGCAGAGGTTTGCACCAAGTTCGGGTTAAGAGCAGCTCTGTGTCCTTGCATCAGCCCGTAGTTCAGTGATTTACGTTTCTTGCCAAAGGCTCTGCCCATTGGGGCTTTGCTGCACAGGGTTAAACCGTATCGGTTACATAGGGTTGCCAACATGTCTGCAACTCGCAAGTCTCGTTAATGTGCAAGAGAAATGTTGCTGTGTAATAACAAAAAAAAAATTCTTACATTTGATATGCCTCCTTTCACGTCGGGATGATGTCTCTTTTGTGTATTTTGTATTTTGTGGGTGAAACAGCAGCCAATTTATGTGCGGAAGTGTCCTGCAAAACAACCATGAAGGGATTGGCCAATTTTATTTGGAGGAGTTGTAGGTCAGGACACTGGGAGAAACTCCGTTCTTGCATCTGTAAACTTGTTATTGCTTTGCATTGAATTCCATTATCTCGAAGTTTTTCTTTTAAACCGATAAGCTAGTAATTAGTAATGGTTTGTTCACACGGCAACTTGCTTGGTTAATCATGCCCTTGACATTGCGAGTAAATTCGCATAGCTGTATAAAAGTCAGCTTCCTTAGCAGGCCTTGCGAAGGATATCTTTATGGTTCATTAGCACGCAGCATCAAATAAAATTCAGGTAATCAATTCAGATTCAACCTTCTTCGTTTTTCCCAGTTTACACTGCATTCAGTGTGTTTGAATGGGAAAAGCCCCATTTATCTTTTTAATCAGGGTGGCAGTAAGGTATGAAATACATAGTCAGAACATGTCTGCTGCAGCTTCATCAAACACAAATCTGCATCTTAAGATGAATGGCAGCAAAGCGCGTCAAAGTAACTCTGTTGCAGACATCGTGAGCCGGTTTCTGGTTGTGAAATCTCTGCCTCCCTCCTCCGATGCAGGCTGACATCAGCAGCGCAAATATGGATTAAATCTCGTTGGATTTTTACCATTTGAAGCTGCGTGATCCCACCATTTTAAGTTCACTGTGAAAGGTTCAAAAAGATCTTCACTGAAATTGGCATTTTTAAATTCTCCAGAAGGCTGCAACCATTTAAGGTTATCATAGAATTATGCAGCACAGAAGGAGGCCATTCGGACCATCTTGTCTGTGCCAGTTCTTTGAGAAGAGCTATTCAATCCCACTCCCCTGCTCTCTCCCCATAGCCCTGCAAACTTGTCTTAGTTATCTAGTAATTTGTACCTTGGGACGTCCTCCTGACATGAAAGGCATGATACAAATGTAATTTTATATTGTATTTTGTATATCTGCTTAGATTTTCTTCCCCCACCAATGTCTGTTTAACTTGACCAACAGAAGCAATCTGGTATTGTATGTTTGAGTGCGACTGTTTCCTTAATGGCTATTGGTTCTGATCACCCAATGTGCAATTCATTGGCATTATGATTGATGGCTTGAGCGTGAGTAGCACAGACGTATAAAGAAGATCACTTGAAATTAAATTCAACTTTCCATTTCAATATCTTTAAAATCAAACGGTTACTTCCAAAGTTACTTATTGTTGATGCTTGCTATTGCCTTTAAGGGGCCAATTTTCCTCCGGTTGGAAACCAGCACGTGATGAGAAAGTTGGAGTTTCAGTGGCATGCAGATTTCCTTATTTTAAAATAACTTGTAAGGTTGCACCTAGCGGTGCAATAGCACTCAGTGGAAAAAGTAGTTGAAACACTTAATTGCTGCTGGAAGCCAATTAAGCCAGGAAATTTACAATTTTACACAACCTTTGAGACTTGGCACACATGGGGGTATTTACACATAGGCACAGGTCTGAATTAGGAAATGGCATTTGCTACAAAAGCTGCGATTGTATTGTCTGAGGAGTTCTTGTGGAGGGGGCTGCCTGCAGGAGTCTAATCACAGGAGAGCGTTTGTAGGCCTCATTGAGGTGCACGCTTGGTGGAGGATGAAG